TTTGCCGGAAAGTATGAACAAAGTAACAAAAATATTGAGAGCTTAAGAAAAAGAGAATATATTGCTTTATGTAACGTGAATATGATCCCCTTTACAAATGGTCAGACCCCCTTTATATAGTAGGGGAGTCCTATTATTGGTACAATTCTAAATACAGTAAGAAATCACATGATTGGCTGATTAATCGGCCTCTCCTTGATACCTGCCGAGATTTGCGCCGTGATCCTCGCCCAATTGTGGATATTTCGTCTTTCCATTATTCGACCCAGTAAGTTTCCCTCGATCTCTATCTTATTCGGTCCCGATCTTGATCGATCTCGATCTCATTCGGTGTCGGTTTTGGTCGGTCTCGATCTCAATCAATCTCGTGGTCTCGAGCTTGACAACCTAACCCTGCACCACAGTTTGATATAAATCGAAGTCGATCCTTGACTTATCATGCTCCTCCCTCAATCAGCTGCACAAAAAGGACAAGCCCGATTTTAACCGTATACGGTAGGTTTAGTTTTAGTACTTGAATATTATGTAGCTCAAGCGGCTGTCAATCAATTTTATTGTTCCCGTCGAATAATATCCTCAAAAAGCACGTTTTCATGGTTTAATGGAATCTTTTAAAAAAACATTTGATGATCTAAATCATGTTCACATTTGGATTGCTAAAGAATGAACTTTTGGTGTTTGGCAAAGTAACAAATGGTTAGATTGGCAAATATTCAACAAGCATTATTTTTTATGTACGATGGAATTTAACATGCTTTCTTAAAAAATCTTTCTAACCTTACATATTAGTAATATTAATTTTAGAGAAATAGGACGTTACACACTTCAAAAGACAGAAGCATTTTAGTTACCAAACACTTAAAACTCAAGTCGTAGGGTGATCACAACAAGCATCTTATAAGCTAGTATGCAACATGGCAACATCAAAAGCGTTAGGGTTGGGTTGCACACTCCAACTTGAGGAGAATATTGGAGTGCTTGAAGTCAGTGGTGGAGCCAGCATGTTTCGTACGGGACCGAACCCAATAGCTTTGGTCAAACGCTATATTTAACTTTAAAAATTAATTGAATATGTACAAATTATTCATTTAGAACCCAGTAACTTAAAAGGATTAAAATTTTTAAACCCATAAAACTTCAAATCCTGGCTCCGCCTTTGCTTGTAGTATTACTTTTCCATTTATTTACCTATACATTACACAGGTACATTACTTAGCTGTATAGGTTGCACGTTTTAGCGTAACTGGTGAGACTTAATAAAAGTCCAGCTCGGTCAATGTGTACATAGGACTTGGTATGTTCTGGGACTTGAAATCAGTGTTTACATAATACTTAGATATTGAGTGTATGTTAGCAAAAGATCAAACAAATCTTTTGAGACCTAAAACTAGGAAAAGAGAAAGCTACTACAAGTCAAGTTATACTATTCACTTTGTCCCAATATATATGACACGTTTTTTTTTGAGAAAAACTTAGCTGGGTCGAATACCTTAACTCTCTTAAATAAACACATTTTTTTTTTCTTAAATAAACTGATCTTCAGCTTTCATAAGTTTGGCCCACTGGGATCATTTGTGTTGTTGAATTATTTGCTTAAATGGCAATTTTGTACTCAGTCACGTCCATCAGTTGCATATCATATCTCAGTCTCTGTTACTATTTATTGTTGTATCATATCTTATTTATTGTTTGGGATGATTGGCATGAGATATGTGAGCCCGAGACAGTGGAGAGATTGATGACAGAGTTGGGGCCTGAGAGTTGTGTTGTGAGTGAGATTTGTGGATCGGATTGCACACCGCAGCATGCCTTCTTGGCTTTATTATTATTATTATGGATCGGGTTGCACGCCACAGCAGGCCTTATAGGCTTTATATATTGTTATGGGATCAGGCTGCATGCCGCATCTAGCCTTATTGGCTTTATATTGTCGCTTGGGCAGGATCCACCCCTCCGTTGCCTGACATACCAGCATTGAGCACATGTACCGTATAGTTCTAAGTGGCTGAGCGTGATGAGTGAGAGTTGAGACAGACAGATTGAGTACTCTAAGAGCGGGAGTACGTGAGGTTATCATTGTGATGCATTACATTTGACATGTAGATACATAGAGGTCACATTCCTCATATCAGTTATACTTGGCATATTTCATCTGTGTTGATCTTAAAGTGTTGAACTTGAAAGCACGTCTACATTCTTGTACTGTGTACCATCTGGTTATGAGTTTCTCTAAGATATTGCTGTCATACCTATACTATTGAAATTTGGATCTGGACTGTACTTTTCTAAGCTCGTCACTACTTTCAGGCCAAGGCTAGTCTTGTTACTTATTGAGTACATTGGGTCGGTTGTACACGTACTACACTCTACACTTCGTGTGCATATCCGAGTACTTTCGGGTACGACGGCTGCTAGCTTTGGAGCTTTATCTGTTGGAAACTGTCGAGGTAGGTACCTTGGCATCCACAGACCTTGACTCTCCTTATTTTTAGTTATTTGTATTGTTCTATCTTTCTAGATAGTGTTTTAGCAGACAAGTTACTATTTGACAAACTAAAACGCTTTCGCCAAAAGGTTAAATATGTAGTCATATCCGTATTAGGTTGACTAAGGTATAAGTTCATGCATGGACTATTCACGCATACAAGGATAAACACTTTTTCTAATTTATCATTTCTAAATTGCACTGTTAGAAGCTTTTACATTTCTAAAGTTTATTCAAATAATGCTTGCATCCTGAAATTCTCGAGTCCGAAACTTAATTAATGATTTTTTAGACACAAAGTACGTTTTTAATGTTTAAAAAAAAAGTCACAAAAATGAGTATTTCGCAGTATTATACTGCGAATTGGGTTAACGGAAATTTTGCCGTTAAAACAATTCGCAGTATAATACTGCGAAGTATTTTTTATTATTTTTTTTAACTATTTCGCAGTATGGTACTGCGAAGTACCAAAACACAGCGTTTAATGTAATAGTTGGACCCAGCCTTTTTTAATTAAGGCAATTCGCAGTATAGTACTGCGAATTGCTAATTCGCAGTACTATACTGCGAATTGCCTTAATTAAATAAGGCTCTTCTTCTTCCATCTTCCCCGACATTCCAGCCCCCCTCCATTAAAAAACAAACTCAAGAGCTTTCTGGTCCCCACCCCCGTTTATTAAAAAAAAACTCGGCCACCGTCCCATAACGAGCAAGGCGTGTACGG